TCATCCCTCTGTACTCTTATCTGACTCCTCCAAACTCCCTTCCCCCCATGTTCACCTCGTCCTCCTCCAAAATTCATGTTAGTTTTTGTTGTTGATCAATAACCCACTGATGCCAACTAGTGCTGCATATACATACACAGGCCCATCCAGTGGAGCAAGACCACACCCCAGAAGAAAATGGACTCTGACTCTGCCAGCATCCATCACTGCCAACAGCTCCTCAGCTAAAGAAGAATGAAGCCTTGTGAGCCTCTTAATCATTCATGTTGAAATTTTTGACTAGGTTCATCTGTATAAATTGTGTAGAATCATGGAAAATAATTTCTTCATATATCCACACACCCGTTTTTCCGCTGTCTCTTAACCCATCATACCATTTTGTTGTCTATTTATTTATAATATGTGGAGATATGTCTGAAACACTATTCCTAGTAAAATAATTATAGTAACTTAAAGGTGGTAGGATTTTTAGTTCCAGCCTTCTATATGTTTTGTGTATTTCTGTATTGACAGCCTGCTTTACATTGCTTTGTTTCAAAATTCTAAGTTTTTAAGTGAAATAATAGAGATAAACTTGTTGACATTATGTACTGGCATAAGTACCATGAAAGCCAGCATGCCTGCGAGGGCTGGGGATGCAGCTCAGTGATGGAATGCATCAGGGTTCTAGGTTTGAACCCCAGCATTACAAACAATAATGATAAAGAAATCTTTCCTCTTGGACTTGCCACACAATTCTTTTTATTTTCCCTTTGTAATTTTAACATACTAGAAAAAATATTCTGCAAAGTCAGAATCTGTTATTTTGGATAGAGTCCAGATGTAGTGCCTAATTTTTTTGACAAAATATATGGAATAATCTGAGAAGTGTTTTGGAGCAAGGAGAGAACCATGTGTTTTTGAAAATAACTATTATCAAAGGCTTCAAGTTTCCTTCACTTCACATGTAATTTTTCAGTGAGCACATTGATATTTTGAGTCATTGGATTTGGGAAATCAAATTATTACTAGTCTGCTGGCCACATGACTCTTCCCATCTGCTAGTACATTGTCACAATTATTTGAACCCTGGTTTTATATTAGCAGAAATTATAAATCACATTATTTTTTTAAACTCAGTCTGACTGTATAAAATTTTGAGCAAAATAAACATTTGTACCTTATTTGTCTATCTTAAAAGCATGGCAAAATATGAACTGTAATTTAATCAAGATGAAATTAAAGTGCACTGAAGATCCTGGTATCCAATACGGTCTCTTGGTAGCCACACGTTTTTTGGATGATCATTTTTGGTTAAGACTGTTGTTTACAAAGATGCTTTTGCTTTAATGCACAGCTAAACAGTGGGGACATTTATGATGTTTGTTTAATTAGCGTGACTCAAACTACTTCTGGAATAATTTTTTATACTTTAAGTGCATTTGTCAAGCTTGTTTGCTCACTAGCTGCTTTGTCATTGCAGTGCAGACTAGTCCTGAAGTCATGGAACAGTGACTGATTACATCTAAACATCAAAACTTGATCACTAGTTACTTGTAAACTTTATTAAGAACACCAACAAGGCTGAAATAAAGAAAACACGGTGAACTTCTGTTGGAGTCTTTCCTTTGCATACTGTATTGTTCTTAAAAGAAAAACAATGTTCTCTGTGTCTTTCTACTTCATTAGCGCGAACGGAAGAGTTATTTAAGTTATTTATCCATTTGTTAAACATTCCAAAGCTTATTTGTGTTGCACATTATGCTGATGCTAGACACAGACTCTGCACCTTCAATTGTCTGCTTTTAGAATTTTCCTCCATCTAATGAAACAAGCACACTCACTCCAATGTTACTTACCAGTTTGTAACTTCTTTCACTTAGTTTCTTCACTCTTCTTCATGTCCTCCCTTAAAAATAATTTGAGGAGTGCCTACTTTTACTGCTAGGTTCTACACAGCACGTGGCTGCAGCATATACCTTTTGTTAATGTTGCCATAACAACAGTTCCAAGATCTTGCTCCTCTATTTATTCTTGATCAGTGTTTGTAGACTATGGGAATTGACACTGGGCAAGCACATCCAACTGAAGACCTCTAAGGAGTACCAGTTACTGTGTGGCATCTTTTCTAGTTTGGAAAAGCAGTTCAGATTTACATACACTGACTTTTTTCAAAAACATTTCAGATGTTCTATAAAATAATTTGTCGTGAACTGTTTTGATGTGAATGAGGAAAGGATAGTTAAGAAATGAAGAATTAGTTACACTACAACCTAGGTTGTCTCCCAGAAAATAGTCAGGGCAGCGAATGTGCTGTGAGAAACTGGGAGGGTATCTCAACCAGATTATTGGAGTTTGATAAGCAGAACTAAGGAAGTTCAGATTTTTATTTAAGGAAATGTTGAGAAATTTTGGGTCAGATCATATTGTCTTAAACATTATATTTTAATTGTATGCCTATGTTCTCAATTTTAAAACAAATGTTATGGGAAGAAACCATGCATTTTAATATTTTAAATCACAGTAATTTGTACAAGTTCGTAGGGTATGACTATATGTTACCAGACATTAATATTTGTGTATATGGTGTGCGTATGTGTGTGCACGTGTGTTTGCAAGTTCATTTATCTGTATATGCAAACAACAGATGGAAAAGGATTTGAGGGAACAAATTAAAGAATAAAAGTTTAGTCTCCATGAAGATGGTGATTACCCTAAGAAGATTATCACATTGTAGGCAGATTTGCCAAAAATCATTCTGTGACTCTGCAAATACTTATTTCCATATAATCTATTATATATACTAGGATCTGAGTTTGAAGTCACATCATAGTTAACCCAATTTAAATATAGATTTTGCTTTACATAATTCAAATACTTGTTTTAATGAAAAATAAGAAAAAACTCAAAAGAATATTGTAAAGAAAATTAACACAACTCTTAATTTGTTAATGCTAACATTTGGGTTCTATAAAGTTATCATTCAAAATCTCTGTGCATTGTAATTGATGATTAGTGATAATTTGAGGGATTTTTCTGACCTTATCTGTAGTCTTATCAGAAAGAATATTAGGAATGAATACACTAAAAGGACTTGCTGGGAACATCCGGGTCAACATTTAAAATACATTATTTTTAATTTCAAGATTATATCTATCTACTCATATGTCACCTATCTACATGTCCATCCATCTATCTGTCTGACTGTCTGTCTGTCTATCTATTATCCATTCCAAGGTGATACATAAAAAATTAAAGTTCATCTACTTTCTTACTAGGACAAGTGGGCAGTAACATATGAAAGAAAACATGTGACTCAGACTGTCAGCGTCCAATCTGCAGGGTAGATCTGGTTGTGACAATTTCTATTTTGTTTTCTCCATTTGAAGATGTTTGATTTTCCTCCTAGTTCTGAATTGGGATTGATTCACTATCTAATTATGGGTTGACAGTTTATTTATTTCAATTTTGTGACCATTTGTCATTTCCCTATCTTTGTGATTTATTGATATAAAAAATCTGTTACTTGAATTATTTTTCTCCTATGTGGAGATCGCTGATTTTTCTCACACTCTTTTCAAGACATTTTGTGGGTGTATTTATAGAAATTCTGTGGTTGGGGGAAATTCTTTGGATTCAGTCTACTGTGGATTACTCAGCTTTTTTTTTATAATACAGGGTTTTTTTGGGGGTCAAATTTGAAACATTCCTTCAAGTAATTTTTAAGTCTCTCCCTCTTTACCCTATTCTAAAATGTTAATGACATATATATCCTATCTTGTTTATTGTCCTATGAATCTCTTTCATTCATCTTATCTATATATATATATATATTTTTTTTTGGTTTTTCGAGACAGGGTTTCTCTGTGTAGCTTTGCGCCTCTCCTGGAACTCACTTGGTAGCCCAGGCTGGCCTCGAACTCACAGAGATCCGCCTGGCTCTGCCTCCCGAGTGCTGGGATTAAAGGCGTGCGCCACCACCGCCCGGCTATATTTTTAATTTGTTGTCTCCCTATTGTTCATATTTGTTAATTTCTGTTATCTGTCTTCTGTTTTATTGTTCAGACCACACACATCAACACACACACATGCATGCACGCACGTACACATGCACACATGTATATATATTTAGCTTTTCTCATTTTGATGTTTTTAATGCTGCTATGCAGGATGTTTCCATTTTAACAAGCTGAGTGAAAGGTACTCATAGCCTTCTGGTATATTTTCCCATTTCATGTTTCAAAATAAAATTTAAGTAAAAAGGAAAGGATGAATAAAACTTTAAAAATATTGGAAGACTTTAATGTTACATAGTGAGCTGTTTTAAAGAAGGGAGGTTAAGTCAATAGAAAATAACATCCCATTTTTGTTTGAAGTACACTGTGCTCCTACCAATAGAACTTCAGTTAATACCGAGAATTCCTGTGAGTCCATCTTAAACTTCTTTATAAATAAGAATTATCTATGTGCTTGATATTTTAAATACCACATAAATATTGCAGAAAATTGTTTTGGAAATTACAGCAAGTCCATTTAGAAACTTTTGTATGCACCTGAGAAAGGCATGTAAAATGTTCTTGTGCATTCTTAACTTGTTTATGAATAACATATTTCTCTTCAAGAAAAACAAAAATTATGACACTGGAGTTGTTTAAATTAAATTTGTCTTTCTTGTAAAGAGAAATGACATTTAATTGCAAAACTTCTTGTGAAAACTGGAAATAACAATAACCTATATTGTTCATCATTTTAATTTCCTAAGGTATTTCATAGTCATGAAAACTGAAGAGAATAGAATTGGTAGAATACATTGTCTCTGTTTTTAACATTGAGTCACCAACAATAAAACATTCCCTTGACCTTAGATTATAGCTCACTCCGGTTGTGACACTTATCTTTTTCTACTAATTGATTATTAGATCATTGGTGTTTTTACATTTTGTTTTACTGTGGGTTTTTTCTTTAATTTTTGTTTATTCTTTTCTCATACAATACATCCTGACACAGCTTCCTTCCCTCGAAAATATATGGAGCACTTTGTGAATTTACATGTCATCCTTGTGCAGGGGCCATGCTAATCTCTGTATCATTCCAATTTTAGTATATGTGTTGCTGAAGTGAGTACAACATATATGTATATTATCCTAAAGTTTCCATCTTGTCTTCTTTGTATCACTTATTTTATTTATTTTATGTTTCTTTGCTGAATCTTTATATCTTTGAAATTGGATTTAACATGTTAAATTAATTTTTTATTAATTTTTTTAAAAAATTCATTTTACGTACCAACCACAGATCCCCTTCTCATGCCTCCTCCCACTCCTCCCATCCCTGCCTAACTCCTCTCCCCACCTTTCATCCCCTCCTCCAAAAGGGTAAGTTCTCCCATGGGGGGACAGCAAAACCTGGTATATTCAGTTGAGGCAGGACCAAGCACCCTCCCCCCACCATGCTCTCCTACCTCAAGGGTGAGCAAGGTGTCCAACCATAGGTAATGGGATGCAGAAAGCTAGCTCATGCACCAGGGATAAAATCTTTGAAGAAGAAATTAAAGAACATATCAGAAAATGAAAAGATCACCCATGCTCATGGATAGATAGAACTAACATAACAAAAATGGTCATCTTACCAAAAGGAATCTACATATTCAATACAATTCCCATCAAAATCCCAACACAATTCTTCACAGACCTCGAAAGAAAAACACTTGATTTCATAGGGAAAAACAGAAAACCTAGGATATCTAAAACAATCCTTTACATAAAGCATCTTCTGTAGACATCACCATCCCTGACGTCAAGCTCTACTATAGAGCTATAGTAATAAAAACAGGCACACACCTTTAATCCCAGCACTTGGGAGGCAGAGGTAGGCAGATCTCTGTGAGTATGAGGGCAGTCTGGTCTACAGAGCAAGATCCAAGACAGGCACCAAAACTACACAGAGAAACACTGTCTTGAAAACAACAACAACAACAACAAACCAAAAAACCAAAAAAAACAAAAAACAAAAAAAACCCCAACAACTTGGTATTGGCATAAAAACTGACATGTGGACCAATGTAATTGAATTGAAGATCCTGACATTAATCCACACACCTATGAACACCTGATTTTTGACAAAGAAGCCAAAACTGTACAATGGAAAAAAGAAAGCATCTTCAATAAATGGTGCTGTCATAACTGGATATCAACATGTAGAAGACTGCAAATAAATCTATATCTATCACCATGCACAAAACTCAAATCCAAGTGGATCAAAGACCTCAGCATAAATACAGCTACACTGAACCTGACAGAGGAGAAAGTAGGAAGTAACTTTGAATACATTGGCACAGGAGACCATGTCCTTAATATAACACCGGTAGCACAGACACTGAGAGCAACAATTAATGAATGGGACCTCCTGAAACTGAGAAGCTTCTGCAAGGCAAAGGACACAAGCAATAAGACAAAACAACAGCCTACAGAATGGGAAAAGATCTTCACCAACCCCACATCTGACAGAGGGATGATCTCCAAAATATATAAAGAACTCAAGAAACCAGACAGCAAAATACCAAGCAATCCAATTAAAAAATAGGCTACAGATCTGAACAGAGAATTCTCAACAGAAGAATCCCAAATGGCCTAAAGATATTTAAGCAATGTCAACATCCTTAGTCATCAGGGAAATGCAAATCAAAACGACTCTGAGATACCATCTTACACCTGACAGAATGGCTAAGATAAAAAACACTGAAGACAGCTTATGCTGGAGAGGATGTGGAACAAGGGGAACACTCCTACACTGTTAATCAGTATGTTAATCAGTATGGCAACTTCTCAGAAAATTGGGAATCAATCTTCCTCAAGACTCATTGATACCACTTTTGTGCATATACCTAAGGGGTGCTCAATCATACCACAATGACATTTGCTCAACTATGTTTATAGCAGCATTATTTGTAATAGCCAGAACCTTGAAACAACCTAGATGCCCCTCAACTGAAAAATGGATAAAGAAAATGTGGTACATATACACAATGGAGTATTACTCAGCTGTAAAAAAACAATGACATCATGAAATTTGCAGGCAAATGGATGGAACTAGAAAATATCATCTTTTTTTATATTTTTTTTAGAAAATATCATCTTGAGTGAGGTAACCCAGACTCAGAATGACAAATATGGTATGTACTCACTTGTAAGTAGATACTAGATGTAAAGCAAAGGATAACCAGACTACAACCCACAGCTCCAGAGAAGTTAGGAAACAAGGAGGACCCTAAGAGGAATGTACAGATCACCTTTGGAAGGGGAAACAGAGAAGATCGCCATGAGTAAACTGGGGATGGGGGGCACAACAGAGGGGAGGGGATGGGGGATAAGAACATGAGGGAATGAGATGGTCGAGCTGGGAGAGGGATGAAGTAGGAGAGCAATGAAAGAGATATCTTGATAGAGGGAGACATTAAACTAATTTCTTATTGAAATAATTTTGTGATGTTGGCTCTTAAATTTTGATCAATTAATTCTAATATTTTTCTCAGTATTCTCTATTTATTTTTTTAATTCACCTTAAAAATTTCCTAGTTCTTGATTACTAGGCATTTTTTCATTGAAATGCAGATATTTCTGGTCCTTTAAATTTTTTTATTATTTTTTCATATACTATATTTGACCGTGTTCTTTGCCTTCCTCCAACTCTTCCCCCAGATCCCCCTCACCTAACTACTAACCCAACCTCATGTTCTTTCTCGCTCTCACTTTCTTAAAATATGAAAACCCAAACAAACAAACAAACAAAAATAAAAAGACAAAATTAATGTCAAAAGCAAACAAAAGTACACACACACACAAATAGGGAGTGAGCTTTGTACTGGAGAACCACTCCTGGTAACAGGACCTATCTTAGTGGGGTTGATATGCCCTTGGGGATAATTAATCTCCCTTTCTCAGCAGGTATCAGTTGAAAACAGCTTTTTGTTTAGGGGTGGGATTTTGTGTCCAGACATTTCTGGTATTTGTTATAAAACTCTGATACTTTTTTTTCCATTGTTGTTGTTATATTGTTTTTGGTGTTTTGTTTGTTTGTTTGTTTGTTTGAGATGGAGTATCTCCATTTAGTGTTGACTGTCGGGGGAACTTGGCACTGAATCCACAGAGATCCTCCTGCCTCTGCCTCTTGAGTGCTTAGATTAAGGGCATGTACCACTTCATTTAGCAAATCTTTGATTCTTTATTTTTAATTTTTCCCTCTACTTTTCTTTTATTCAAAGTAGGTTTTTTTAATACAATATATTCTGACTACTGTTTTCCCACCCCAACTCCTCAGAGATCCTCTCCACTTTCCTTCCCATCCAAATCCAGACCCTTTCTGTCTCTCCTTAGAATCAAGCATCTAAATAACAACCACAACATCAACAATAATAATAATAGTAAACAAAAACAAGCAAACCAAAAAAAGAATAAAAGGAACTAAAAAACACATATAGACATAGATACATCCACATTCATCCACACAGAAATCCTATAAAAACACAAAACTGGAAGCTATAATATATATGCAAAGGACCTATAAAGACAAAAAAGAAAAAAAAAGAAAGAAAGAAACAGAAAAAGACAAAAAAGATGTCATTGATTTTGTTTTATGTTGGCCATCTATTAATAAGAATTGAGCCTGCTCTTAAAAATGGTTTGGATCCCCAGTGGGACTCTGTTGGAGAGAACTAAATTTTTCAAATGATTGTCAATTGGAAATAGTTTCTGGGTTAGTGATGTGGACTTGTGTCTACTACTCTCAGTTCTGGGATACCATGTGGCTCAGACCCATGCAGAGGCTGTGCATGCTGCCACAGTCTTTGTGAATTCATATGTGTGTAAGTTCTGCTGTGTTTCGAAGATCTTGTTTCCTTGGTGTCCTCAATCCACTTTGGTTTATACAATCTCCTTGCCTCTTTTTCTGCAGAGGTCCCTAAACCCTGAAGGAGGGGTTTGAGGAGACATCCCTTCTAGGGCTGAGTATTCCAAAGTGTTCCACTCTCTGTATATTGTCTAGTTGTGGGTCTCTGTATTTGTTTCCATCTACTGCAGGAGGAAGCTTCTCTGATGACAGCTGAGCAAGGCCCTGATCTGTGAGTATAGCAGAATGTTGTTATGGCTAAGTTCCTCTAGCAGAACAGTAGTATTTGGTTTTCTCCTAGGGCCCTGGCCCATTTGCTCTCAGGTTCTTGGCCACCTGATCAGTATTGGGTATGGGTTCCTTCTCATGAAGTTGGCGTGAAATCTTGTTGGATATTGGTTGGTTACTCCCACCAACTTTGTGCCATCATTGCCCTTGTGCGTCTTGCAGGCAGGTCATCATTATAGATCGAAGGGTTTGTAGTTGGGTTAGTGTTCGCCTTTTTCCTTTGGTAGTGCCCAAAGTACCTTCCTGTCCCATGAACACTAGTCCGAAGGGGTGAAGGCTCTATGTAGGCACCAGATCAACTTCTTGTTCAATGAATTGTGTAGGCATTGTCTTCATCTGGTTGTGACATCTGGGATCCCATTGATTGGCAGGGTTGATTTGGCCAATCTGGCTGGTTTCACAAGTGTCCCTTTTCTCCTTTACTGCTCATATGTGTACATCCCTAAGCTGTGGAGTTGGTCAAAGAGGACTACCTTCCCAGATAGGGGAGGATGGGCCTTCATTCAAGGTTATATGAGTAGCTTCACTCCCCTGATAGAACCTCCAATCAAGCTCTCAAAATTCTGATTATTACTTAAACCTACATTTTAGGGGGCCAACTTGATACCACTCTTACATGGACAGCAGGAGAGAGGGATTTTGTTTTCTCACAGACCTCTGTTCATATTTCCTTGTCTGGAGAGTATGGGAGTGGGTAGGAGTGCCTCAGAGCCTTAGAGGTAATGGAAGTACTGACAATGGTCCACTAGCCTCCTTAGATCTAGAGAGGGACATGAGCAGTTCCCAGCTTCTCAGCCAGTCTGGGATAAAGATGATGCTACTACTTTTGCAGTAATGTTTGACATCCACAGATCTATTACTGTATGACTAGAAATGTCTAATTAGACTGCCAATATTTATATTTTCACTAGGAAGAACCGTCTAATTTCCCTAGAGCTTTCTAAAATGTTTGGT